TTGGAAAATGCAAGGTCTTTCCTGAAAGAGACGACGTCTGGATGGGAGCATATGTTGTTCTAGAACTTGGATATACCTTTCAGCATTGATGGTGCCTTTCCAGATGTGTAAGCTGCCCATGCCACACGCACTCATGCAACCCCATACCATCAGAGATGCAGGCTTCTGAACTGAGCGCTGATAACAACTTGGGTTGTCCTTGTCCTCTTTAGTCCGGATGACATGGCGTCCCAGTTTTCCAAAAAGAACTTCAAATTTTGATTCGTCTGACGACAGAACAGTTTTCCACTTTGCCACAGTCCATTTTAAATGAGCCTTGGCCCAGAGAAAACGCCTGCGCTTCTGGATCATGTTTAGATATGGCTTGTTTTTTGACCTATAGAGTTTTAGCTGGCAACGGCGAATGGCACGGTGGATTGGGTTCACCGACAATGTTTTCTGGAAGTATTCCTGAGCCCATGTTGTGATTTCCATTACAGTAGCATTCCTGTATGTGATGCAGTGCCGTCTAAGGGCCCGAAGATCACGGGCATCCAGTATGGTTTTCTGGCCTTGACCCTTACGCACAGAGATTGTTCCAGATTCTCTGAATCTTTGGATGATATTATGCACTGTAGATGATGATAACTTCAAACTCTTTGCAATTGTTCTCTGAGAAGCTCCTTTCTGATATTGCTCCACTATTTTTCGCTGCAGCATTGGGGGAATTGGTGATCCTCTGCCCATCTTGACTTCTGAGAGACACTGCTACTCTGAGAGGCTCTTTTTATACCCAATTATGTTGCCAATTGACCTAATAAGTTGCAAATTGGTCCTCCAGCTGTTCCTTATATGTACATTTAACTTTTCCGGCCTCTTATTGCTACCTGTCCCAACTTTTTTGGAATGTGTAGCTCTCATGAAATCCAAAATGAGCCAATATTTGGCATGACATTTCAAAATGTCTCACTTTCAACATTTGATATGTTATCTATATTCTATTGTGAATAAAATATAAGTTTATGAGATTTGTAAATTATTCCATTCCTTTTTTACTCAATTTGTACAGTGTCCCAACTTTTTTGGAATCGGGTTTGTATATTAATTCCTCATTTGTAAGTCGCTTTGGATAAAAGCGTCTGCTAAATGACTAAATGTAATGTAAATGTAAATATGCACGCAGACCACTATATACCAAAATTGTCCCAAAATGTTTAGACAAAATAGAATTAACCATTTTTATTTACAGAATGATAACTAGACACTGCTCCCATGCATATTATGAAATCAAGCAGCTGTTTGATGTTACGTTTCTGATTTCAGGTGTTTGTGCTAAGGGAAGGAAAGAGTGCTCCTCTCCTCACCGCCCACATCAACATGCCTGTGAGTGAAGGACTCGCACTGAACTGAGAGCGAATTAGAAACGTCTAGCTGAGCTTCACAGGCGTCTTCAACTCTTGCTGTGCTCCTAGCAGCAGTTAGGCTTCTCCACAGAGCTGCCTGGAACGGAGAGCTTTCCATCACATGAGTTACAAGAAGTTTGCGCTGGCCATCGAGCCGGTGTTTCCTGTAGCTTAGATCAGGACTGAGGGAGGCGTGTCCTCACAGGTAATACCTCTGTACCTTTTAATGGCTAGTCACTGGAGCGTTTGATTGACAGCTGCGAGGCCTAGAGTTCCATAGGTCATATAGTTTGGATGTAAGAGACGTTCCTGATGTTTACTTGTGGTAGTCATGTATATTTATATGTAAAAGCATATTTATTCTTGATGTAATGATCACACACTTTATAATGCAATTTTGAGGCTTTATTTTAATATATATTGAGAATCATTGCATAAACAGTCTGTTTAAGGCAATGTGGTAAGAAAAAGATTATTCACTACTTTTAAAGCACACACACACACGAAAGTAAACAAGGTATAATGAGAGAATGGTCAGTTCATTCTCTCTCTATTTCACAGTACTTTTCTACACTACAGTGACGTACGTTCAACTCTTCTTACGCTCATTTTTTTTTTTTGTCAAAATACTGTTTGCATGCATGTAAACTTTATATACACTACCATTCAAAAGTTTGGGGTCAGAAGGATGTTTTTAGTGTTTTTTATGCTCATCAAGACTGCATTTATTTGATAAAAAATACAGTAAAAACAGTAATATTCTGAAATAATATTACAATTTAAAAGAACTGCTTTCTTTTTAAAAATGTAATGTATTCCTGTGATGGCAAAGCTGAATTTACAGCAGCCATTAGAAATCACTTATATGCTGATTTGGTGCTCGTATTTTTATCAGTGTTGAAAACATTTTGCAGTATTCTTTGAAGAATGTAACGTTTAAAAGAACAGCATTTATTTGAAATTATTACTGTCACTTTTGATCGGTTTAGGCATCCTTACTAAATATAGAAGTATTAACTTATTTAAAAAAAAATCTTTCTGACCCCAAACGTTTGAATTGTAGTGTAAACAAACACTGCTTTTTCTGAGTATATTCTGTTGGCAGTTTCATCTCAATGTTTGCTTTCCTTTCCTTTCTTACTGAATGAAAACTGCATCCATCATGTCATGATAGTATGAGTTCCTTATTGTCAGTCATTTACCCACTTCATGAATACTACTGAGGTTACAGGAGGCATGTAGTAAAGAAGAGGAAGTAAGGACAGAGGAAGCACTGAGGAAGAGGAACATCCATCTAAGTAAACATAGTGAGGGTGATC